CTCATGGAAAAGTGTGCAGCTCTCAGTGTGCGGCCTGACACTGTAAAGAACCTCGTTCAGTCCATGCAAGGTGAGTGAGGACAGAGCAAACAAATGGAGTGGAGGCACAGCCTTAGCCGCCTGGCCATCCCCTCTCCTGTTCACCAAGGACAGAGGCTGCACCTCTCTAAGCTGTGCTATAGGCCTCTATCCCCAGGGCTCTGTAGGTCCGTCGCACCTCATGGGCCCTGCCCCTGTGGCACTCAGTGAGCGCTTAAGTCCTCACTTGACTGGGGCAGTTTGGTCATTGGGGGTCAGGCTTGAGCAGCTGCCTCAGGCTGCCTCTCTATCCCTAGTGCTGTCAGGCGTGTTCACGGACGTGGAGGCCTCCCTGAAGGACATCAAGGATCTGCTGGAGGAGGATGAGCTGCAAGAGCAGAAGTTCCAGGAGGCAGTGGGCCCAGCTGGGGCCAGCCTGGCCGTCTCTAAGGCCGAGCTGGCAGAAGTGAAGCGAGAATGGACCAAGTACATGGAAGTCCATGAGAAGGCCTCCTTCACCAACAGCGAACTGCACCGTGCCATGAATCTGCATGTTGGCAACCTGCGCCTTCTCAGTGGCCCGCTTGACCTAGTCCGGGCAGCCCTGCCCTCTCCGGCCCTCACTGCAGGTGAGCACTGCCTTTCCCTGGGGGAGGGGTCACTCAAGGCGGGGTGTTTCTCTGGCCTCACTGACCTCTGCCGCCCCCAGAGGACAAGGCTGTGCTACAGAACCTGAAGCGCATCCTGGCCAAGGTGCAGGAGATGCGGGAGCAGCGCTTGTCCCTGGAGCAGCAGCTGCGCGAGCTCATCCAGAAGGATGACATCACTGCCTCGCTGGTCACAACGGAGCACTCGGAGATACAGGTGGTGGGGGTGGAGGGTTGCACATCTGGCCTCCCTACCTGGTGTGGCAGGGTCCTGAGTGTCTGTTCCTTGTCCCTTATCCTCCCTCAGAAGTTGTTTGAGGAGCAGCTTAAGAAGTATGACCAGCTGCGGGTGTACCTGGAACAGAACCTGGCTGCCCAGGACAATGTCCTCCGTGCGCTGACGGAGGCCAACGTGCAGTATGCAGCAGTGCGGCGAGTGCTCAGTGAGCTGGACCAAAAGTTAGTGCCTGCCCTAGGCTGTTGGCCGCCAGTCCCATCCTGCTAGCGCAGCTTACACCAGCCTCTCTGCCTGCCAGGTGGAACTCCACGCTTCAGACTCTGGTAGCCTCATACGAAGCCTATGAAGACCTGATGAAGAAGTCTCAGGAGGGCAAGGACTTCTACGCAGACCTGGAAAGCAAGGCGGCTGCCCTGCTGGAACGGGCACGCACAACCTGCCAGGCCCGTGAGGCCGCCCGCCAGCAACTCCTAGACAGGTAGGGGCGGCCCTCAGGCTGCTCGGCTCCTGCCCAGTGGGGGCTGGGCTCCCCTCACTCCTTGTCTGTTTCTCAGGGAGCTGAAGAAGAAGCCACCACCACGGCCCACGGCCCCCAAACCACTGCTACCCCGCAGGGAGGAGGGTGAGGCAGTGGAGACAGGAGACGCCCCAGAGGAGCTGCGCAGTCTGCCGCCCGACATGGTGGCCGGCGCACGGCCACCAGACACTTTTCTGGGAGCTGCTGCCCCATTTCACTTTGCCCCCAGCCCTTTCCCCAATGCCACAGGCCCAGGACCCCATTACTTCCCAGGCCCCTTACCCCCTGGCACCTACTCAGGTCCCACCCAGCTGATGCAGCCCAGGACTACAGGACCTCCTACAGTGCCTATAGCACCAGGGCCTGCCCTTTACCCAGCCCCTACCTACACACCAGAGCTGGGCGTGGTGCCCCGGTCCTCTCCCCAGCATGGTGTTGTGAGCAGTCCCTATGTTGCAGGTCTGCCCTCGGCCCCACCACCCCAATTCTCAGGCCCTGAGTTGGCCATGGGGGTTCGGCCAGCCACTACTACTGTGGATAGTGTCCAGGCACCTATCCCCAGCCACACCACACCCCGGTCAAACCCTACTCCTGCTCCCCCTTCTCAGCCCTGTTTCCCAGTGCCACCACCCTACCCCTACCCTGTGGGGGCCCAGCAGGCCCTTACAGCACCCCCAGGCCACCCCTTTCCCCCTGGGATCCCCACAGGGTTTCCTGCACCGCGGATGGGGCCCCAGCCCCATCCTTCACGATCAGCATTTGGCCCTCAGCCTGCCCAGCAGCCCCTTCCACTCCAGCACCCACCCCTCTTCCCATCCCAGGTTCCAAGACTCCAGCCTCCACAGGCCCCTTACCCTTTTGTGCCCCAGCCTGGTGTCCTGGGGCAGCCACCACCCCCTTTGCATCCCCAGCTCTACCCAGGTCCTGCCCAAGAGCCTCTGACCCCTCCCTCACGGGCTCTGCCTTTTCCTAGCCCCGGGCCCCCTCAGACTCCCCACCCACCCCTGGCCTATGGTCCCAGCCCTTCCCCTAGGCAGCTAGGTCCCCAGGCCACCCCACTCTCTATCCGAGGCCCTTCTCCTGCTGGCCAGCCCAGCCCTGCTCCCCACCTGGTGCCTTCACCTGCCCCGTCACCAGGGCCTGGCCCAGGACTCTCTCGACCCCCAGCAGCAGAACCACCCCCCTGCCCACGTCGAGGCACCGCTGCTGCAGACCTGCTCTCCTCTAGCCCAGAGAGCCAGCATGGTGGCCCACAGCCTCCTGGGGGCGGGCAGCCCTTGCTACAGCCCACCAAAGTGGATGCTGCTGAGGGCCGTCGGCCACAGGCCCTACGACTTATCGAACGGGACCCCTATGAGCATCCCGAGAAGCTGTGGCGCTTGCAGCAGGAGCTGGAGACCTTTCGGAGTCAGCTGGGGGATGCAGGCACTTTAGATGCGACCTGGAGGGAGCTGCAGGAAGCACAGGAACAGGACGCCCGAGGCCGTTCCATTGCCATTGCCCGCTGCTACTCGCTCAAGAATCGGCACCAGGACGTCATGCCCTACGATAGCAACCGTGTGGTGCTGCGCTCAGGCAAGGATGACTACATCAATGCCAGCTGTGTGGAAGGGCTCTCACCATACTGTCCACCCTTAATAGCCACTCAGGCCCCACTACCTGGCACAGCTGCTGACTTCTGGCTCATGGTACATGAGCAGAAAGTGTCTGTCATCGTCATGCTGGTGTCAGAAGCCGAGATGGAGAAGGTGGGGGAGAAATTGGTCAGGTGCACCAGGGTAGAGGGTTCCTGAAAAACCAGCTCTAACCGCTGTTTCTGTCTGGTCCTCAGCAAAAGGTGGCACGCTACTTCCCCACAGAGAGGGGCCAGCCCATGGTGCATGGCGCCCTGAGCCTGGCACTGAGCAGCGTGCGCACCACTGAGACCCACGTGGAACGTGTCTTGAGCCTACAGTTCCGGGACCAAAGCCTCAAGCGTTCTCTAGTGCATCTCCACTTCCCCACTTGGCCTGAGCTGTGAGTCCCCCTTGCCCTGATCTCTTGGTGGGGAGGGGGTGAGAGTCCCCGGTCAGATCTGGCTCACAGACCCTCCCCCACCTGCAGAGGCTTACCTGACAGCCCCAGCAACCTGCTGCGCTTCATCCAGGAGGTACACGCACATTACCTGCATCAGCGGCCCCTGCACACGCCCATCGTTGTGCACTGCAGGTAGGGGGGCAGGCAGAGCCTGTGGGCTTCTCCTCTGGGCTCCTGGCCCGGCCTTACACCTGCTTCTTGCCTCAGCTCTGGCGTGGGCCGCACAGGGGCCTTTGCACTGCTCTACACAGCTGTGCAGGAGGTGGAGGCTGGGAGCGGCATCCCTGAGCTGCCCCAGCTGGTGCGGCGCATGAGGCAGCAGAGGAAGCACATGCTGCAGGAGAAGGTGAGCCTCTATGCGATGGGCTGGGCCAAGAGCCCCTGTCTACCCAGATGACCAGGCCCATGCCTCTCTGCAGCTGCACCTTCGGTTCTGCCACGAGGCCGTGGTGAGGCATGTGGAGCAGGTCTTGCAGCGCCATGGAGTGCCTCCTCCCTGTAAACCTGCAGCCAGCGCAAGCGTCAACCACAAGGTGAGGAAGGGTCTCAGGGGCCACTGCAGCGTGGCTTGTGACTCACTCTCACGGCCTCTGTCTCCTCAGAATCCCTTTCCTCAGGATTCCCAGGATCTGGTTCTCGGTGGAGATGTGCCCATCAGCTCCATCCAGGCCACCATCGCCAAGCTCAGCATCCGGCCTTCTGGGGAGTCCTCGGCCGCCAGCCTGCCAGGTCCTGTAGAGCCCCCAGGCCTGCCCCCAGCCAGTCTCCCAGAGCCCGCCCCAGTCCCTTCCTCCTCACCACCCCCCCTCTCTTCACCCCTGCCTGAGACCCCCCAGCCTGAGGAAGAGCAGCCTGTGCCTGAAGCCCCCAGCTCAGGGCCCCCCTCCTCCTCTCTGGAGCTGCTGGCCTCTCTCACCCCAGAGGCCTTCTCCTTGGACAGCTCCTTGCGGGGAAAGCAGCGGATGAGCAAGCAGAACTTTCTGCAGGCCCATAACGGGCAGGGTCTGCGGGCTGCCCGGCCAACTGATGACCCCCTCAGCCTTCTGGATCCCCTCTGGACACTCAACAAGACCTGACCAGGCTTTGCCTGGGTGGTATACACTACATCTCACATATCCACCTGCCCCCACCCAGCCAGGCCTCTCTGGGTGGTGGCACAGCCTTCTTACTTCCATTCCTGTTGCCTCCATCCTTCTCTGGCCCAGCCTGTGCACCTGCAGTGCAGACATGGGTCAGGTTCTACTCTGTGGGACCTGACAGTTTTCAGTTCTTTGCTACTGAAATAAACCAACCAGCCTGTTCTGTGGCCAGTGTCTGAATCTGCTGCCTTGGGGAGGTACCTCAGCTTAAGCTCTGCTGAACACTTAGAGCAAGGTGCCTCCACTGCCACTGAAGCCTAAGCCCTGCAAAATGGTTAACTAGGGATCGCTCCCTCCCTTTCTGGGGCAGCTGCAAGAAATTCTTCCAGGGGATAATATAAGTGGTCCACAAGGTCTCTGGCAGATGTGATTAAAAAAATTTTATTACAGTCAAGAAGCAGCTGCCAGAGGATACCCAACCCCTCCCCCAGTCTCGATCCAGTGCATTGGCCTACACAGTTCTCCAGCCTGTGCCTGGACAATGAGGCCTCAATCCAGCTTCTCTAGCACAGACGGTACATAGACCAGGCTGAGCTCACTGCCGAAGTTGCAGACAATGGCAGCATTGTCCAGCACCAGGATCTGGCGGGCAGGCTGGGCCTCACTGTTCTTTCCCAGGTAGACTGTCTGTAACAGGTCCCCGTAGTTTAGGTCCCAAAAAGAGACACAGCCCTGGCCACCGGTCACCAGCAGGTTGTCTGAGATGACACCCAAGCTTGCACCACAGCCCAGATCCTGGAAGCAAAGACATGACAGGCTCAGTGTCGGCCTTCCGCCAACACTGACCCTGCAGGCCATGCCCCTAGGTTCCCACCTGCTGAATGGAGTAGAGCTTGATGCCAGTGCTGCGGTCCCAGATGCTGATAAGGTCATCTAGCCCACTGCTGATGACGCAAGACGTCGTGCAGGTGAGAGAGGTGACGTCCCCACGATGAGCAAACATGTGGCTAACCCGGCTACCAGTCAGCACATCCCACAGGCAGATGGCCCCATCTTGCCCTCCACTCGCCAGCACCATGGTCTAGGAAAAGCAGCCAAGGGTCCCGCGTCACAAGCAGAGCTTGTCAGCAAGGTAGAGTGGAGACCACTGATCTCCAAAGAGGAGGAAACAAGGACCCTGGCCTTAGGACACCTCCCACAGGCCTCTCACCTGGTCAATGTACACGGTTGTGATAGCCCCAGAGTGACCCTGCAGGGTGAAGAGGCAGCACGAATCCTCCAGGCGGAACACCTGAATAGGAATGAATGTTGAACTGGTAAATGCCTTGCTCCCAGCTCTCTGCAAGCCATTCCTTACCCCACCCCTTCACCCAGGCTGTACTCACTCTCAGTGTGTGGTCCTGGCTCCCAGTCACCAAGCGCCCTGCCGCGGCTTTCAGAGCAGTAATGGGTTTTTGGTGAGCACAGGGCACTGTGTGGGTCAGGTGACAAGTCACTGTGTCGCTGCTGCTGTACATAGGAGAGGAGGGGGAACTGCCCCGTCCAGGGGTCCCTGAGAATGACAGGCTCAATGAAGGATCTTGTACCAGGCACCCAGCAGGCACGCCCCACCCCCTCCCCACACCTCTGACCTCTGAACTGCAGGGGGCTGAGGGAAGTGTGAGTCTCCAAAGAGAAGAAATCTAGGGAACCGTTGAGCCGAGCGGCTACAATCCTGGAAGAGAAGAGCAGCTGTGGACTTGAGACAGGAGGTGGAAGGGGAAGTGGCCAAGAGGAGTGCAAGGGCTCTGGCTGCAGATCTGATTCCAAACTTCTGGGTCTCAGTTTATCTGAGGGGTGGGAGTAATGGTCTCCAACTCCCAGGGGTCCTGGGAGGGCCCAGTGAGGACAGCAGAGGAGCCCTCCCTAGTCAGCAGCTCCTGAGAGACCGGCCCAGAAAAGCAGCTTTGACCTAAGCCTGCCTTACTCCATTTCCTTTGGTTTAGCTTGACTGAATTCTGGGTACAGGTCAACAGACCAGGACGGATTTGTTTGCCTATGATGTCTGCAGGTCCTGTGGCAACCCTGGGGGAGGAGCAGGAGATGAAACACCAGGTGAGGGCAGGTTGATATGTCTGGGCTTCCCCTAAAGCTAAAAGGAAAGACACAGCGAGGAAGGTGTTCACTGAGTGCAGAGGGACTCCCAAGCTCGGCCCGAGCAGCTCTGCTGTGACAGTAACGAAGGCAGCAGTCACTGGGAGAAACAGCTAAAGATGGCCACAAGACTGGCATTGTGGCACAGCAAGTTAAGCTGCCACCTACAATCCTGGCATCCCATATCAGAATACTGGCTCAAGTCCCAGCTGCTCTGCTTCTGATGCAGCTCCCAGCTAATGCACCTGGGGAGGAGGTGGAATATGGCCCAAGGACTGGGAGGTAATCCAAGTTCCTAGTCATTAGAACCTTTCAGGGGAGTGAATCAGTGGGTGTAAGAGCTCTGTCTCCTCTCATTCTGCCTTTCAAATAAATCTTGCAACAGCCAGAAGGTGGAGCCATCAATAGGAAATACAGCATGGATCAGGTGACAACAATGTGGCTCATCATTCAGATATGGAAACTGAACGAGGCCCTGCCTGTGGAGAATGTGCAGAGTCCCAGGGACAAGCACAAGAGCAGCAAGGCAGCGGCCACAGACAGTCTTAAGAAAGAATAAAACTCCCTGGAAAATGCAGCTGACATACCCAGGCAGGTCGCACAGTGAGTAAAAAGCATGACTTGAGAAGGGTGAAAGACGATGTCTCCATGCTAGGGGCCTACCACAAACACATGACCCCAGACTCATTTGGGTGTCATCCTGCCCCTCTAGGTGACCCCGTACTCACAGATAGGGCTTGGCAGAGAAGGGAGGACAAATCAGTGGAGGAGAGCCAAGACCAGACAGCCTCAGACAGGGCTGCCTGGGGTGGCGACAGGGAACCCCACCCTCACCTTTTGTCCAGGAAGACGAGGGCTGTGATGCCAGAGGAGACTTCCTCGCTGCTGCAGCACAATACCCCCTCGATGGCGTCCCACACCTGCAAACCCAGAGGCTGTGAGCACCTGCCACCCAGGAAAGCCCACAGTCCCATGGGAGGGGTCCTTTTGCCCACCTCTAGGCGGCCACTGCTGCGCCCCACCACGATGAGGCTGCCCTGCAGCTCCAAGCTCCAGATGGACCCGTCTGCGCTGGGGGCCCAAGCAAAAGGGGAGCCCTTCTCAAGAGAGAGCCCCTCATCTTCAGGGGCTGGGGGCAAGACAGGCCCTGGTGAGGGGGGCCGTGGGGCCGGTGTGTGGACAGCTGCCAACTCCTCTTCCTGGTACACCCGCTGTACCAGACGACTAAAATCATAGCCGGGACAGTCCCGAGTGCGGCTGCACCCCACTCGGTGCCGGGGTTCCGGTTGAGTGGGCTCTGAGGACGGTGGCTGTGCTGAGAAGTTGGTATCGATTAAGCAGGTGAGGTCTGGTTGGTCCCCAAAGAGGGAAGATGCTGGAGGGCCCCGGGGCCGGTGTCGCAAGGGAGGGCTATCCCCAGACTCTTCTGGACCAGCCTTCCCACTGTCCGAGAGCCGTTCCCAGTTCTCCTGGGCCTCCAGCACACTGCCAACACCACTGTCCCGTCGCTGCCTGTGAGAAAGGTGGCAGTGAGGGATGGGGACCAAGAGCCAGGACCCATGAGAAGAGCCCAGAAAGAGTGGGAGTGGGGATGGCCACACTTACCCCAGGCGCGGGATGCGTGTGAGGCAGTCCCCAGTTTGTGCGTCCCACACACACACACGGCCAGCCAGGCAGCAACTCACAAGCAGCATGCCATCGCTGGCCAGGCACTCAATGTCCTGTAGGAGTCACAAGTTAGTGTGGGCATGGTCCCAGGCCTGCCAGCTGCTCTCCCTCCCACCACATCTGCACTCACCATGAGGTGGCCCCGCAGCACCAGTGGCACGATCTCTGTCTCGGGTGGGGCGTAGCCATAGTCATCACAGGGCAGCTCCCCACGCCGCCGCCGCCCAGACCCACCACCAGGCTGCCCGTAATTGCGTGGGCACAACACGCGGTAGAGGCAGAGCAGCAGCAACACAAGGACAATGCCCGCTGCCAGACCCAGCGCTGCCACCCTATGGATAAGTGGGGTGTGTGAAGGGGTAGCCCCAGGTCCCCTGACTCCCACTCCCCACCCCCAGCCAAGTCTTACTTGTATAGTGTGACGTCTCCGTGCATCTGCGCCTCACCTGGGCCCCTGGGTCCAGCCTCCGAGTGCCCAGCAGGCACTGGCCCGGGCCGGGGCCAGGCACTCTGGCCATCCTGAGGGTGCCGCCCCTCCAAAGCCTCCCTGGGGTTCAGGTGGAGCGTGACAGGGATGACAGGCAGCAGGCTGATGTACCTGGGTACCAGCAGGTGCCACCTTAAGGGTATACCCTACAAGCCCAATACCCTCCCTCCCCAGGGAGGCATCCAGGTCTGAGGGCAGGGACACAGCGAGTCCCTGCCCAGCACAAGCAACAGGTATATCTATTGGTTCACCAGTTCCTATCTTAGAAACCTGTGAACTCTAATTGAAACGAAATGCAGAATCCAAACCCTTGGCTCCCCCACTGGAGAAGGCTATATTTTGGGGAGCAGGAGTGGAGACAGTGGCAACTGGCAGGGCTCAGCTCACCTCTTGGCCAGCGTGATGTTGTAGTAGCTGAAGAGTGTGGGCCAGTGGCGGAAGGACAGCTTCCTCCAGAGCTCCTCATCCTCAGGCCCCCAGGTTACTTCTGGGACGGGGCCATCAGGCACACCCTCTGGGGGACCCCCAGGCTCAGGCTGCTCACCTGGCAGCGTCTGGTTTTCAGGAAGCTTCAGGGCATCAGGTGGGAAGATGGAGAAGGCAGGGTCCGGGTGGCTGGCAGGTAGCACACCACTAGGCACTGGCACGGGAGCCAGGGCACCCTCACCCAGTGGGCTCTGTTCTGTCACTTGGGCAGCGAGGTAGGTGCGCAGCCCAGCCGGGTCTGTGTACACCAGTATGCCAATCCAGACAACAGTACCTGCCTTCAGGGGACACTGTGTCTCAGTAGCTTGAAGCAGGCAGCACAGGGCCCTCGGAGGTCAAGGGCCCTAAGCCATCCTCTCCTTCTGAGCCCTCCCACGACCACATGCCAGCATATGCTACAGCAGCAGCGACTGGTTCCCTTTTCCATGGTCACAGGTTGGATTTCCTGACCAGAAAAAACACTGGAGAATTCTCAGGCATGACACAGAACTTCCTCGACCCTCCTGCCACCTCAGCTGGGGCCAAAAGGCTGCTGCCCATCCCTGAGGTCAGGGAGTGGCGCAGGGGAAGAGAGGGAGGGAGCTGCCAGACCTGCCCAGAAGGCTCAGCCTCTCTAATTTCCCAGGAAGTGGCACTGCTGCCTAGTGTTCACTCTGCTTGGTGTCCTGGGGCCTACAGCAGCCAGCAAACCCCAACCCAATGCACCCTAAGAGCTCCTGTCCTGGCTCACTCTGGGCAGACAGCAATGCCTCCACCTGAGGATCCCTCAGGTGAACGTGGGTCCTCAAGGACCACTATCTGGGCAGGGAGAGCATAATGGGCAGTTTCCCAAAGCCAGCCTTCTTTGGCCCATCAGCACCCAAAAGCAAGCATGGCAACCCTAGGGCTTGATGCTGGCCCCAGCGGGCCAGTGTGGGGCATGGGCCAGGTACCATGATCAGGCGCTGTGCCAGGCGGGTGCGGGCCAGGAAGTAGATGACACGCAGCCTCTTGGGGAGCCGCAGGTTCCGGAATGAAGATGGTTGCAGTGTAATGGTGTGGGGTGTGGACGGCCGCACAGCCAGTGGCCGCTCATAACGTACTGGACGCCCCAGTGGTTTGGTTGGGGGCAAACAGGCCTCTGGGGGCAGCCGCTTGTTCAGGTCTGCAAGCTGTTGATGGCACAGTGGTAAGGGTCCAGGTCTACTGTCCAGAGGCTATGGGCATGGGAACTCTGCCCCTGCCCAAGGTCTTCGGGCCAGGCCTACCTCCATCCGGCGAATGTCAATAGACAGGACAGTGGTGAAGAAAAGCATCTGCAGGAAGAAGTCAGACACCAGGCCCACAACAGCGAAGAGGCAGAACTCCTGGAATGACAGCACGCAGGGGTGGAGGGGCCAGAATCTGCAGGCAGGGCACAGGAGACAAGCCCCTAGCACAGTGGGGGCAGCGCCAGCAGGGCAACCCATGCCCACCAGAGGGCAGTAGAGACACACACCCCACCACCAGAGGGCAGTGCATGTGCATGTGTGTGCACGCGCACACACACTTCAATGTTTTGGTTTTTTTGGAACTCTAAAGTCTCATGGTCCTTTTCTTCAAAATCCCCACCTACTGACTCTAGTCCTATGCTACCAACCTAGCCAGTGTTAAGGGCTGATCTTGGGGCCCTGAGCTACTTTTGCCAGCCACGACACTGGATCAGTGAAGCTAGGGTGAGGGAGCAGGGGGACTCACTCTGACCTGAGCCTCTGTCACTAGATGAGCTCTGCATTTTCCTCCCCCATGCCTCTGTGTGAGATGTCTGGCAAATCACCAGCCTCAACTCAAGTCTAAGCTAGGAAGACAGGGTGTGGCACCCACAGGCACTGTGGTCATGTCAGCTAACACCCCACTCTTGTACCACCTGCAGGTGCCACTCTTTCTTCAGGAGGAAAGCCTGGCACCTTTTGACTCTGTTCCTGCAATCCCCAGCAGCCCTGGGGAAAGCCCATTCTTCCCCTCCTGGATTCCCAACTCAGCGCAGGCCTGTCTCTCCTCTCCTTCCTTGGTGAGAGGCCACCCTTCCACAGGTCGGCAGGCCAGGCTGTGGGACAAAGAAGGAAAGTCTCGGAGGAAGACAAGAAGGGGCTAGTTCAGGGGTCTCACGGTGTTGCTGCCTGGGCAGTCTTCAGCTGCAGAGTCTGTCATTGGCTTTTACTAGGCCTGCAGAACCTCCTGCCAAGTGGATGAATAGGCCAGCAGGCAGGAGAGAGTAAATGGCAGGGATTCAAGGCAAAGCCTGCCTGGCTAAGAGCTCTGCAATACAACCAGCTTGCAGACAAAGAGGTCCGTCTCATAGACCATGAGGAGTGCGCAGCAGCCTCTGAGCAGCAGGCCTTGGGGCCTCACCTGGATGGCAGGCACTAGGGTGAAGTAGCCAATGAGGATGATGCACAGCTCTGTCGCCATGTTCTTCATAATGGACCAGCTCTCACTGCTTAGGCCTGCAGGGCAACACCAGAGCACAGAACGGCACATGACCTCCCTCGGAAAGGAGGGTGCTCATCTGAAGGGTAGAGGAGTGGGCAGGGGCCCAGCACTCTGAGGCAGCAGTCTACCATGAAGTGCCCTGGCCCATGCCCAATCCCAAGCAGCTCACACTTGGGAGGCCTGGTGAGTACAGGACGGGGCTCTAATCAGAAGAGGGAGAAACAGAACAGGAAGGAATAAGGTAGGAAGAGAAACCACAAGGCACTGATTCGCTTGAAGGTCATCTCCAAACATGAGCCCTAAAGCAGTCCACTTTTCTTCTTGACCCATGAGCCAGGACCAAGGACGGGTCCATGACCCCATGGTGCTTTGGGTCACGTTTCATGCTGCTAGGGCCTGGTGACTACTGCATGGACATTGCAGGCCAGAGCAAAGCAAGCTTCCTCATGGGGCCCAATACAAGGGGAGGCCCTCTCCACCTCAGGGCCCTGGTCCTGCCCTATCTTACCTTGGGCAATCCGCAACTTCACCTCGAGGTCCACCGGCGTGGAGACCACTGACTTGGTGAGCACCAACACGTTCTCTAACCCAATCACCACCACAAGGTAGGGGAAAATTTCCCTAGACAGAAGGGGAAGGACAGAGCTGTGGTAGGTGCCCAGCACAGGGCTGGGGGTTCCCAGTCTTGAGCTCACGGTAGGTTGTGGAGTTCCAAGTTTCCAGGTGCTAAGCAACTCCCATTCATGCCTCCTCTCCCACCCTCATCCTGTCTACACAGCTCTCAGCTTCAGGCAGGCTCACAGGTCAAGGGGCCAGCAACCCAGCACAGAGGAGGCCCTGAGGGAGGGTTCTGCTACCACTCCAGACAGTACCACCCCTCTAGGCCCTTCCTAAGTCAGATGCTATGGACCTGGCTGAAGTGACTGTGGCCATGGCCCCATGTAGTACTTCTAAGCCAAGCCATCCTAACTCAGTGGAAGCAAGTTGGACCCAGCCTACCACCCTGTACACCTATGCTGTGAAGCTGTGGTGCAGAACAACAGCTTTGCTAAAGCAAACCTTACACACTGCCTGAGCCCTTGGTCTCCCACAGCTCCACCAGAAAATGGGCTCCACCTTGCCAGATCTTACAGCAGGGCCCAAGTGAGGGCAGACTCTGAGTGGGGGTGCAGAGTGAGTAATGTCTCCTACCACCAGGTTTGAGAGAAAGTGGCAGTTCTAGGAGTAAAGTTCTAAGAGAAAGGTGCTTTTCCCACAACAAGCCTGGCAAGCCAAGGTGGGGGGCAGGTCCATCTGTTAGCAAGAGGGGAGCAGAGAGCCAACGAGACTGAAGTCAGACGGCAAACACAGAGTCCTTCCAGATGGGGATTCAGAGAGGAGTAGCAGGGGTGACAAGTGACAATCTGCTTGCACCTCTCATCTTTCTCCAACATGACCTAACTTAGTATTCTCTAAAGATTTATTTATTTATGTGAGCTGCAGAATGACAAAACGTTAAAACAGACATTCCATCCCGTGGTTCACTTCCCAAATGGACACAAAGCCAGGGCTGTCAGGCCAAAGCTAGAGCATGGAATACCAATTGGGTCTCCCCTATGGGTGGCAGGGCTCAAAAGACTTGTATCGATGTCACAAGCACCCACATCAGGAAGGACTAAGTGCCCAGCTGTGCCAGGCTCTCTGGCCTTAGGCCCTCCTGGGGACCTACCCGCCATTGAGGGTGGGCGTCAGGCCGAAGAGTGTGCAGAGCCCCACAGACATGAGCAGTGAGCTGAGCACTGTGACCACGGCAGCCAGGGCTAGTCCCCATTTGGACTTGACCATGTCGATCTTGCCTGGAGGACAGAGAGAGTACATCAGGGCAACAGCTTCCCCAGCCCCCAACTCACAGCACCCAGGGTCATGTGTCCTGTCAGCAGAGGCCGGGGAAGCTCCTGGAGTAATACTTCCCAGTCTCACGGACAAAGCACATCCTCCAAGAACCTGGACCCAGGGGAGGTCTTTTTCCAAGAATTCTGAGGACCCACCTGAGCCCCTTGCACTCAATGGGGGGTAAAGTCCTGGCTCTGGGAACCCCCAGGTTCATCTCTGTGCAAGTCGCCTCCAGAGGCAGGGAAGGGGATGGTATGAGAATGCCCATTTGGCTGGAGAAAGCCCCCGCCCCCTGCCATGGACCTACGTGTGGAGAAGTAGATGTAGGCAAACAAGATGATGTAGGTGGTCACGAGGGGGATGAGCTCGGCGACCCCGATCTCCTCCTTGAAGTGCACGTGGACCAGGCTCTCGGCCCGAAGGCTACAGTTGGGGCTTGGGTGCAGAAGCATGAGGCGGGCACGCAGGCTGCCCAGGAACCTGGTCACGAAGCAGGAAGGGGTACACAGAATATCCCTCTTGGCCCAGGGACACTGGCAACCCCCCAGAAAGCGGCCCATCAGGCATCCTGTGCTGGGCCTCTAAGTTTCTCTCGTTTCCAGGGGCTTTAGAAAAACAACAAAGCTGGCAAGGTTGTCTCCAAAGCTTCCCCCTCTCCCCTCTTCTCTCTCCAGGCTACCTCACCAGACTGAGTGGAGGCACTACTGGCGGCCCTGCAGCTGTGGCAATGCTCCTTTGGGACGCCCAGGCCACAACCCTCTTCCAGACTTGAGAGAGACACTGACATTTCTGGTCCTACTTTCATCTGCTACCTTTTCTTTCCTAAGATCTTTTCTTCCATTTATTTGAAAGGAAGTTGGAGAGGGGGGACAGGGATGGGACTGACTTTCCATTCTCTGGTTCACTCTCCGAATGGCGGCACTGGTCGGGGCTAGGCCAGGCTGAGCCAGAAATCAGGGGTCTCTTACAGATCTACCATGTGGTGCAGGGCCATTTCTGCTGATTCCCCAGGGGTATTAGCAGGGAGCTGCATCAGCAGTGAACAAGTCAGGACTCAAACCGGCCCCCACACAGGATGCCAGCTCTGCAAGCAGCAGCTTAACACAATACACCACAGTGCTGGCTCCACCTTTTCTAAAAAAAGATTTATTTGCAATGCAGAACAAAGAGAGAAGAAATAACAGAGGAAGGAAGGGGTAGATAGAGGGAGATCTTTTACCTGCTGGCTTACTCTTCAAATGCCTGCAACAGCCAAGACTGACCCAGACTGAAGCTTGCAGCCCAGAGCTTCATCTGGGTCTCTCACATGAGTGGCAAGGGCCCAAATACTTGGGCCATCTGCACTGCCTTTCCAGGCACACTGGCAGAGAGTTGGATTGATAGCAGAGTAGCCAGAAGTTAAACTGCTACTCTTATTTGAGATGCTAACACTGCATCTGGCAGCTTAACCAGATGAGCCACAACACTAGTCCCACCCCTTATTCCTAACATCTGATTGGCCATCCACCTGTGAGTATAGCAGACAATACCCCTTCATCTAAGCTAAGGACAGAAACACTTCAATAGGAGACCTAAAAATTGCCCAGGTTCCCAGGGAAGATTCTGAACATCGCTTCCTGTCACCCCACAACCCTAGGCAGGGCCCTCACTTGGCATGGTAGTGCTGGAAGACCAGAGTAATGGTGTAGGAGACCATCCTCTTCCGGGTGTAGAGGCTCACCCCGCTGTACTTCCCAGGAACACCAAACAGCAAGTCTAGGGACAGAAACAGCAGGTACTGACAAAGAAATCACCAGAGGATCCCTTCCCTCCAGCTCAGCCTCTTAGGAAACAAGAACCTCTCATTGGGGGAGTGCCCCCAGGGGAGAGCTGGCACCCCTTGTAGGAACCCATGACGGGGCTACCTTTGAGTGTGGCCGAAGTCTGCAGGGTTTTGGGCTCATGCTGGTGGATGGTCCTGATGATGTCTGGATCAGCATGGAAGCGTTCCCGATCATTTTGCCAGAAATTCCCGGGGGACAGCAGCAGGCACCCATGCTCGGGGAGCAGGTTTCGGAGCTTTCTGAGGCCTGGCAGCAAGTCAGTCACCTGCAAGCACACCTCCTCCAGGCTCCTGGGCCCAGAGCTGTGCAGGAGACAGGATAAGGCACCTGCTATGTCTGCCAGCTCAGGGCAGGCCCACTGCACTTGGGGGTCAACCCCTGTCACCACTAGGTTCCTAAATGTCCTTTTTCTGCTTCCTGGTGTCACCAAAGAGCCTGACAATGAAGACAGCAGAGGAAAATATCTCCAGGAGTTTAACAACAAAACCACACATCTCTGGTCTTCAAAGTGCACCTAGAATCCCAAAGCCCATCACCTCCAAGAAAAGACAAGCATGGGGATTATGGCAGCATGACTGCCCCATCACTAACAATCCAGCCAATCTGGTGGGCAAGTGGGATCAGCAGAAAGCTAGGAGCTTTATGTACCAGCATGCTTGTCAAAGCTGTTGTCTCACTAAAACCCACGGCTGGGAAAGCCTGAGAAGCTGGCACACTCAAGAGACTTGCTGATAAGCAGGGGCCTGGCTCTGAAGACATCCCCAGGCAGGGTTTGCTTCTTGTCACCAGAGCCACCTCTACATGCCCATCTCCTAACCCACAAGAGTTACACATCAGCTCCAGGGATATCTGTTCCGCGCTGAAGCTCAAGACTCCCTCTGGGCCACGGGCGTATCTACAGGGGAAATGCATCTTGAGGGGGGCCACAAGACACCCAGAAATGTAAGGCTAGCTGAGCTTCCATCTTCTTTGCTTTATTTCTGCAGATCTGGCTCAGGGGACTTACACCAAGGACTCTAAGTCTCACTTCCACTGTGAATGGGATTTGGGGGGACCAGGACAGAAATGAGTACCTGTCTCTCAGCACGTGGTTCCGGATCTCTTCTACCAGCTGGAATGCCCGGGACAGGGGTGAGCGGAACACATCGACTGCCAGGAGGTTCTTGTGCCAGGGAGATACTGAGGACTTGACAAATATCTGCTGAATGTATGCCACTGGGGCACCCACATACTGTAGAAGAAACAGAGAAGGGGGCCGAAAAGTCAGCTCAGAGCAGGAGGGAGAAGCACAGGGCACTGAGCATCTCCTATGGGCAAAGCACTGTGGGACCAGAAGTCAGTCAACAGCCCTTGTTCTCCTGTATCAGGTTCTCCGGGAGCAGTCCACAGCCACTCCATCATCATCATCACCTATGGCTGCTTTTACACTTGCTTGTGAAAGAAGCCATCTACCCCATAAAACATGTAACAGTGACCATCTGCCCTCCAGGGGATTTGTCTCCTGCCCACATGAGAGACCCTTAGCTCCCACAAGGATGCAGCCTGTCTCACTGCTCCTGGTTTTGCCTGCTGCAGCAAGGCAGCTCTGTGTGAAACTTGGAAGACCCCAGCCCCAACTCACTGAAGTCCCGGCTCTCCAAGCGTACAGCCTTAGAATGCTGTTGGTTTTCTGGATTTCAACCCCCTTGTTGTTTACCTGCAGCACTGAAGTGTCCATGCGTGCCACCCTCACATACAGTGTATGCAGAGCCAAAGGCTGACCAGAAACAACAGCACCCAACAGGCAGGCCTGTGAATCCCCAGCCAGTCCAAGGGAAGCAGAGGCACAGAGCCTTTCAGGACTCAAACCCAGGATCCCCTACACACGGGGCACTCTTATCTCAATGGAACCTGCTGACCACCCTTGAAGGCACAGCAGTGACCACAGGGTTCACCTGCAGTGCTGTGTGTGGCAGAGCTTGCCTGAAATGTGTGCCGGGCCAACTGAATGGAGCCACAGGACAGGGGAAAGGTGGATGGGAGGATATCGGAGGAGTAAGGCACACTGCAAACACAGCCAGCCTGGTCAGGAGTCCTGGCAGGAAGAACAGAAATTGCAGGCGCATGAGGCAAGTTAGGTGGCAAGCCAGCCAAGCTGTGTGGAGCCTCATCCAGTCAACCAAGAAAGGCCCACGTTGCTGAGGTGCAGGAGTGACCTCAGGAAAGCATCAGCTGGAAACGGACAGATCTGGCTCAGGGATGCAGGGCTGTCCACAGGTCTGCACAGCACTGCTCACATATGGATGAAGGGATAGGCACTGAGCATATAACAATACCAAATTCCAAGTTTTCACTAGGCAGGAGCCAAGACATCAACCAGGCACAATAGGCTGTCTCCTGGGCCACTGGGCACAAAGGAACAATTCAAATCAACCACCTGTGCCCTTACGTATCTTAAGTGAATGATGTGTCCAAAGTGGGCCCTGGGGACAGATGTCCATCTAGCCCTAAGCCAGCCCGTCAGGAGGTACAGAGGCACTCTCACGGATCTGGCCATCACAGGTTCCAGCCTGGGCAACTCTTCCACTCAACACAGTGCACACACCTGAGCTGGACAGCAGCTTCTCCCAGAGGGTCATCTCTGACATCTGAGACATGACACTCTCATGGCACCGTGGAGCCTTCAGCCACAGGCTGACTGCACTTACCATCTCCTCTGACTACTTCCAGGACCTTCCACGCCCACCCTCAGGCCCTCTGAATCCCCAGATCCCTTAGGACCATTTCCATGCTGCGACAGCTCCCTGGCTGTGATTCCACTTCCAGCCTCCTTCCTACACAAGTGCCTTCTCCCCAGCCAGAGCATGCAGGCCACTATTTCAGTAATGTGCAAACAGACGCCAAAACCAGTATTGTCACCCAAGCATCCTACTCCCTGAATCCATTCGGATTTCTGCTTGGAAGTGAATATATGATTATCACCATCATCCTACTGAGGGGAGGAGTCCCAACCCTCTCGTGTTTCCATAGGAATCTGCTATCCCTCAAACACCCACCAACTCTGGTAAAACCCAGAGCTCACTTGCCTTTGCTCCAAGCCAGGAAACCTTATCAGATAAATCCACCCAGAAATAGACTTCTGCCCAGCCATGCTCCCCAGCCTTGGCAGGGCCTCCCTCTGTGGCCAGACCCAGATGATCTCTGCCAACTTCCAGCTAAATCGTGTAAGCAGGAAAACCACGTTTCTAACTCTTTCATATATCAGTCCAGCTGTTCAAAATAATTCTATTGACTCCTCATCTACGCATGAGCCCTCTTTTGGGCATCCAAATTCTTGTATGGTGTTAACGAACAGGCATTGGCCTGGGCCCTGTCATTGTTCTCAGAAGATGACTACAAGTCTAGTAGTTATTTGGGAGGTTCAGGAAGCAGGGAAGGGACACCTACAGGTAAGGGAAGGTAGTCAAAGGGTGTGTTCCTGAGCAAGCGCCCTCCTGAACCTGCTGAATTGAACCAAGTTACCCCATGAGAAGGATGAGCACTGAGGCAGCATGCTGGGAGGCATGCGTTCTCCAGCCCTTGCACCTGTGTACTGAGACCTCTGGCCCATGAGCTGCAGCTGCCAGCAGGCAGACACTAACAGGGTAATGGGGACACAGTCCCACACACCAATGCAGGGCCCTCTCACTACCCATACTTGAGTCCCAAAGAGCAAATGTAAAAGCAGAGGGGCCTTGGAAGAGAAAGGAAACACAGGAGCAAGCAGAATCAAATGCCCACAGTAGGAGGGAAGCAGTGACAGGGGGTCTTCCTACAGGCCCTAAGACCTGCATCTCCTGCCCATGTCCTATGAAGTTGCCTCAAGAGAAGGCTGAATCTGGTGCTATATTCTGACAATTAGCAAAGAGTGAAAGGGATGGATATGGTGTTGGTAATGAGTTTACAAGGAAGCATGTGGAAGAAGGGACTCTGGAGACTAACCTGGCTCAGAGTCTAGCTCCACCGCCCCCTGGGTGGTACCTTCAGGCCTCAGCCCTCCCAGACTGAGGAGACAGGAATCAAACCCCAGGCTTCAACAGATGATTGTGAGGACCGATGGAAACAACCAGCGTATATGAAGCACCTAGTAGAGTATCTGGCTGAAAATACACTGGCAGCCTTCTCCTCCTTGACCTCTGCAAACTGAAAACTGGACTTGGCGATCCAGGCACAGCCCTCTTGGTCTCCAGGTTTCTCCAAGCTCAGTCTGAAACTTCCATCACCACTCTCATTGTGGTATCAAGTTCCCACTGCCTACAAAGCTGAAATCTACATTGCTCAAACCAGATTCATCTTGGTCCTTCTCACTTTGTCACAACCATACTCCAAGAAAAAGTGCAAACTCACTGCCTCCCAAGTAAAGTCATTCTGTTTTCTTCTTGAGCATCTACTGTGGATAAAACAACCAGCCATGTAAATGTGAATGAACTGCGACTCCAGCAGGATGGTAGCGAAGAGGAGACGCGGGCCCTTGTCTAAGAAGAGGGGATGTTCCTGGAGACAGTGACACAGGGGCATACGACTGGAGCACCAGCAGGGATCCTCCGTGTCCCTCCTCTCCGTGCTGGAAGGCCCGACCTCCTCAGGGTCAACAGGTCACAGGTACCGCACTGAGTCCTTCAGGAAGACACAAAAAGGCCCAACTGCAGGATGCAGCTCTCACTCCACACGGAAGGACCTCAGCTAAGGGGAGGAGGAGGACTATGGGACAAGACAACCGAGACCTTCAATATACAGAAAAATCCACAATTCACTGAAAAGGTATCAAAACAATTCAACCACGCTTGACAAAGAAAGACAGGCAAATATACAACATGCACTTCCAAAAAAGAATCACTATCATTAATCTTTTGGGAAATGCAAATTAATATCACAATTAGATGTTAAATACATCTACTAGAATGTCTTAAAAAAACAAACTATTGGGCCCAGCGCGGTGGCGCAAGTGGTTAAAGGTCCTCGCCTCGCACGCCCGGGATCCCATATGGGCGCCAGTTCTAATCCCGGCAGCCCCGCTTCCCTTCCAGCTCCCTGCCTGTGGCCCGGGAAAGCAGTCGAGGACGGCCCAAAGCTTTGGGAACCTGCACCCGCATGGGAGACCCGGAAGAGGCTCCTGGCTTTGGATCGGCATAGTATCGGCCCGTTGCGCTCACTTGGGGAGTGAATCATCGGACGGAAGATCTTCCTCTCTGTCTCTCCTCTCTGTATATCCGCCTTTCCAATGAAAAAATAATTAAAAAAATAAATCTTTAAAAAAAAAAACCAAACTATTAATACCAAAAACTTTACAGCACAAATAAACCTTTATGTATAAAAATTTTAAATACCATTCAGGAGCCCAGAATGACACTTCCCCTGTGTAGCGTTCCTTTGAATTTCCTTGGTTTTCTCCTTCTTTCCCAGGATCCCACCCACACCACATATGTAGCGTCTCATGAGGCTCCCCTGGACTTGTGATTGCTTCTCAGACTTCATTTACTGTTGATGTTTCAAGCTAACATGGCACCAATGGTTCGGTAGAGCAAGACCTCAGAGGGCAAGTGCCCCTCACTTCACACATTAGGGGCACATGTAATCCACGTGACTGGCTGCTCCTACATTAACCTTGGTCACCCAAGGACATGTCAGGCTTCTCCCCTCCCTGTACTGTATTCTGGAAGGAAGTCACCAGGCAAAACCCACACCTCAGGAGTGGAAGTTATGCTCCTCCTGCTGGAAAGAGAAGTAGCTACATAAATTGTTCAGATTCCCGGCGGCGTGGCCTAATGGCTAAGTCCTCGCCTTGAACAAGCCAGGATCCCATATGGGTGCTGGTTCTAATCCCGGCAGCTCCACTTTCCATCCAGCTCCCTGCTTGTGGCCTGGGAAAGCAGTCGAGGACGGCCCAAGGCTTTGGGACCCTGCACCCGCGTGGGAGACCCGGAAGAAGTTCCTGGATCCTGGCTTTGGATCGGCATAGCATCAGCCGTTGGCGCTCACTTGGGGAGTGAATCATCGGATGGAAAATCTTCCTCTCTGCCTCTCTTCTCTGCATATCTGACTTTCCAATAAATAAATAAATCTTTAAAAAAAATTGTTCAGATTTCTTTGGCCAAAGAATTATTGTCCCTCATTTCCTTATTTAATGAATCAGACAGTGTAACTCATGAATCTTTATTTTATATTCTGAGTTATAATTCAATATTACTTTGTTGCAAAAACTGTCCAACCAATGGCCACTGGTAGCTCTTTCAACTGGCTACTATTGTTTAGCATATATATATATATATATATATATATATATACACATATATATTTTAAACTTTAAACATCTTTGTCTTGCCTTCCCAGTGAGAGTGAGCTTCCTACTGTGAAGACACCATCCTCACAGAGGATGAGGCACACGAGAGACACTGGTCAGAGGGATGAATGGAGGAGGGGAGGGAGTCTGGGTCTCCTGGTGTGGACAGTACGTCCTGAGGTATGCCACCCCATACCCTCCTGTTTTTTTCCTTTAGAAACTTTGGTCCCCATCCCAAACCTGTGGCCAAGGGCAGGTGCTCTGCTGCTGTCTTTATCACTTGGCTGACGATGGGAGAGCATAGTTACCAAACCACAAGGCTGAACCTGTCATTTTATTTTTAAAGATTTATTTACTGGGGGTAAATAAATACCACCAGCATGGTAGCCAAGTGGCTAAAGTCCTCACCTTTCACGTGCTGGGATCCCATATGGCACTGGTTCTAATTCTGGCATTCCCACTTCCCATCCAGCTCCCTGCCCATGGCCTGGGAAAGCAGTCAAGGACAGGCCAAAGCCTGCATAGGAGACCCGGAAGAAGCTCCTGGCTCCGAACTTCAGATTAGCTCAGTTCCAGCCATTATGGCTACTTGGGGAGTGAACCAGAAGATGGAAGATCTTCTTCTCGGTCTCTCCTCCTCTCTGTATAACTGGCTTTCCAATAAAAATAAATAAAACTTAAAAAAAAAATTTACAGGACTGGTGCAATAGCTCAGCTGGCTAATCCTCCACAGGCCATTGCTGGCATCACATTCACATCCCGGCAGCTCCACTTCCCTTCCACTCCCTGCTTGTGGCCTGGGATAGCAGGAAAGAACAGCCCAAAGTCTTAAGACCCTGCACCTGCCTGGGAGACAGCTTCTGTACCATCAGGCCCACTCAACTACAACAGCAAGGAGACATCCACGGCCTACCTTGCTAGGACCTAGGAGCCATCACGTGGTCAAACTGTTTTAAGAGATGAATGAAATTTTGAACCTAGAAGGTTCCATGTGAGCCAGTGGTTGAGCTGGGACATGACAAGGAGCACCATGGAGAGCCAGGGCTATGTACTTCCCACCAATAACAGAGGTAGTTGCAATACACCCTCTCTTAGCAGCAGCAGCACAGGCAAGCTCATATCAAGTTACAGATTTACAGAAAGATCTTCCATCTGCTGGTTCACTCCCCAAGTGGCCACGACAGCCAGAGCTGAGCCAATCCAAAGCCAGGAGCCTGAAGTTTCTTCCAGGTCTCCCACATGGATGCAAGGCCCCAGGGTTTTGAGCTGTCCTCTACCGCTTTCCCAGATCACAAGTAGGGATCTGTTTGGGAAGCAGGGCAGCCAGAATATGAACAAGTGTCCATATGGGATCCTGGAGCACACAAGGCAAGGATTTAACAGCTAGGCCATAACAAGTGACATTATCTCATAGAGGAAAGGCGAGGTGGAGGGGAGGAGCTTTGGTTCTGCTCCTCAATCACAGGCCCAGCAGCTGGCAAGTAAAAGGTACAGACAGAAAGGCTGACCGAGCCTGTCCGAGTTCCAGACGTGGAGTACAGAGTCAGGCAGGTTAGTTCCTGTACCTGAGCCCCCAGAGACTATTGACTCTTCACTTCTGTCAGTGCTCAGTCTGGAGATTCGTATGGGAAGCACGGTCCATGAGAAGTGGAGTGCTGGGGTTAAACCGAGAGCTCTAACCCAGGGTTGATCTCCTGCCACCTGACATCTGAGGCATTTTATGCTGGGCCTTAGCTTCCTTACTTGTGGAAAAAACTAAAACCTCTACTTTTTAACCTAAGCTGTAAGACCTAACAAACCTGAAACAATTCTTTGCATAAGACACATGCTAGTGTCGGGGCTCTGATGTCAGAACACCCTATAGTCGCTCAGCTGTTCTCGTGCCCGCTCAGAGGTGAGAAGGGATGGCTGTAAGGGACGGGGCTGGCTGTGAGAAGCGATGGCTAGTCATACCTGGCTCTTCACATGGTGACCAGCCCAGGGGTGAGCCAGGTCCAGCTGGTCACAGCCAGGTCAACTGCAGACCCCAGGCTTTCTAGAACAGTCACACTTTCGCATCACTTGGTGCCTTCTTACAATAAAGGTTAACTCATTCAACATGTAACTCAAGATTTCTGGTACCTCTGTAAAGTAGTTTAAGCACATAAAGTTACAGCTGGGGCTTGAGGGGGCTCAGCCTCACTCACAGAAGGCCTTGGCTGCACCTGCCCAGCCTTGGGCTCTCCTCAGCAGTGGGCCAGCACGTACCCAGTCTGGCTGCTCGGCAGCCTCTGCGTGTCTGTGGTCAGAGTCCGCAAGTGGGGGCGAGTAGTCCTTCACGGGGGTGGAGAATTCCACAGGTCCTGTGCCCGGCAGGGGCAGTTTCAGCAGTGGACAGCTGGAATGGGCAAAAAAGAGAGCAGTCAGGACACAGGGTGAGGTGTAGTGACAACCACAATTACAGGGTCTCTGCTGGGACAACTGTACAAATGCACAAAACTTCACTACCATGAAATGTCAGGAGGTGAAACCCCAAAGTCACCCAGATGAGTTCCCAAGCTTATTTTGGTCACATAATTAAATGTTTCTAGAAAGTTAATACAGGCAAAATGCTAAAAGCAAGCAAAAAACCTTGTCAAATGAGGGATAAGATAATGATGAAAAACTGGGGAAAACTATAAAAACCGAGGATTTCAATTCAGACAACTGAGCAATCATTCTGTTCAAAGGGACAGACTATGAAAACTGTGTAGCACGTAAGGATGTGCTCTACACTAGACTATACTAAACTGAAGTTAATGGACCCACTTGGTGCTTCAAAAATGTGGCAGACGGATACACAAGATGTGCATTTTGTTTCAGTTCTCATTCTTTAAAAATTGCTTGAAAGGGCAGGTGTTGTGGCATAGCAAGTTAAACTGCTGTATGAGACATCATCCTGGAGCACAGGTTTAAGTGCTGGCCTCTCACCGTCTCCAGCTCCCTCTAACACCCCGGGAAAGCTGCTGCCGACGCCTCAGTGTGCGGCCCCTATCACATACACGGAAACCTAGACAGAGTTAGGACTCCTGGCTTCAAACTGGCCCAGCTCTGGCTGCTGCGGCCATTCGGTGAGTGAACCACTGAAAGGAAGATCTGTCTGTCTCCTTTTCAAATAAAAATAAAAATCTTAATGAAAACTTTTTAAGTTGATAAATAACTTGTAAATAAACAAACCTTAACTGCATAGTGCCACAAGGAGTGTCTGTATGTGCACACACCTGTGTAAACACTCCCTGCGTGAGGCTAAAGAATCCCAACCCGCAGCGCACCCAACACTTCCAGACGTAACGACCATCAGAGCCTTTGTTAGCTCTGCCCATTTTTCAACATCACATAAGCCCTAAGTGGGCTCTGCTTACTCACTCTGCAATGAGTTTCTCCCATTCAAATGATATCTGCTAGATTCATTCAGAAAGGTTCATGCAGCCAATCCCTTTTTCATTGATATGTACTATTCCACTGAAGGAATACATTACAGTGCGTCTGACTACTGTCAAGGAATGCTGGCTGCTTCCAGCTGTGCTATCAAGTACCCCTGCTCATGTTTTACACATGGCTTTTGGTGGTCCCGAATGCTCGTTTCTACTGGCCACGTTCTTAGCACAGCTTCTGTCACGGCAGATATGCATAACTAGGTTGATGTTCCTAGTTTTCTTTTTTTTAAAGAATTTATTTATTGGAAAGTCAGATATACAGAGAGGAGATACAGAGAGGAAGATCTTCCATCCGATGATTCACTCCCCGGGTGAGCGCTACGGCCAATGCTATGCCAGTCCGAAGCCAGGATCCAGGAACTTCTTCCAGGTCTCCCACACGGGTGCCGGGTCCTAAAGCTTTGGGCCGTCTTCAGCTGCTTTCCCAGGCCACAAGAGGGAGCTGGATGGGAAGTGGGGCTGCCGGGATCAGAACCGGCGCCCATATGGGATCCTGGTGCGTCCAAGGCGAGGACTTTAGCTGCTTCGTTATTGTGCCGCCCTCCCTCTTTAATTCAGGGTTGGTGCAGAAGTGGCACAACAGTTGAGCTGCCATCTGCGACACCTGCTCCAGCTTCCTGCTCACGTGTCCAGAAGGCAGCAAGGACTTAGGTCCCTGTCACCCACATGGGACACCTGAACTGAGTCCCTAGCTTCAACTTGGCCCAACTCCACCTGTTATAGGCATCTGGGGAGTAAACCAGCAGGTGGAAGATCTTTTAAATAAATCTTCTATCTTTCAAATAAATAAATCTTTATAAAAATGCCAAAGTACAGCTAATACAAGTAGGTACCAAAATTTGTTTCTGTACTTAATTAGTGTTGTTGGGGAAAGTTCTGTCCATAGCCTGACCCGGTCCTGGTTGGGTGCAGAGAGCTGTCACAGTGCCCAGAGCAAGGACTGCAGGAGCCTTAGCGCCACCACAGGACGAAAGCAGTATGTTACCTACCTGAACTCACCTTCCACCAGCAACTGCTTAAAAATACACGACTACACTAAAGACAACCTGCTCCTCAAGATCTGCAAGATTAGAAGCATTCGAGACTTCCAGAGCCTTAACATTCCAGCAGAAAACACGGAGACCACACACTCCAGACTGCCTATTTCTAGGGTTATTTAGGCCCGTAGGAAAAGAGTCCACAGCCTTCAGACACTGACCCGGCTCAGTCCTCACTCCTGGAGCGTGAGCCCTCAGGCTCTGAACAAGTGGATTACTCCTATTCCTCAGGTCCAAGCCTCAGCTGCAGTGCCATTTGCCAGGGGAAGTCCTTCTCTTTCCGAAGGCTGAGGCGGCTCCACCCAGGAACTGCCCTGTGTCTCACTGCTAGGTGGATCTGTGTCTTATCCGCTCCAACAACGAGGGGTCCAACTTTGCTGACCACCAGCCCATCTTCCACCTCTCTTTTTGCTTTTTACTCTTTTAAGACATATCAACATGTAACAAGGTATCCACAAGTCACAATTCCACCAGAAGTGCCCAATCCATACCAACACAGGTATCACACTACACTGCTTCATACAACATTGCTGTTTGAAAAATTAAACCAACATATATTTACTAGAGGCAAAAGAAAAATGAAAAAAAAAGTTTTTTTTTACAAAAATGCAAATAGTAAGAGACTAGTCACCATCCATGGCTACCAAATTCCAGATTTAAAAAAAAAAAAAAGCACTTTGGAAGGGATGCCAGGCAACTTTCCAAAATAAAAACACTGATCTTGGGGCCCAGTGCAATAGTGTAGTGGTGGGCCCGGCGCCGAGGCCTAGCGGCTAAAGTCCTCACCTTGAACTCGCCGGGATCCCATCCAGCTCCCTGCTTGTGGCCTGGGAAAGCAGTTGAGGATGGCCCAAAGTCTTGGGACCTTGCACCTACGTGGGAGACCCGGAAGAGGTTCCAGGTTCCCGGCTTCAGATCAGCGCAGCACCGGCCATTGTGGTCACTTATGGAGTAAATCATTGGATGAAGATTTTCCTCTCTCCTCCTCTCTGTATATCTGACTTTGTAATAAAAAATCAATAAATCTTAAAAAAAAAAAATAGCATAGTGGCTTAAGTCCTCGCCTTGAATGCACCGGGATCCCATATGGGCGCCGGTTCTGATCCCGGCAGCCCCACTTCCAGCTCCCTGCTTGTGGCCTGGGAAAGCAGTCGAGGACGGCCCAAAGCTTTGGGACCCTGCACCTGCGTGGGAGACCTGGAGAAGGTTCCTGGCTCCTGGTTTCGGATTGGCTCAGCTCCAGCTATTGCAGCCACTTGGGGAGTAAACCATTGGACGAAAAATCTTTCTCTCTGTTTCTCCTCTCTGTATATCTGCCTTTCCAATAAAAACAAATAAATCTTTAAAAAAAAAAAACTAATCTTTTTTTCCTAAAGTGAGAAAAAAAAAGACTGAAGACATTTTAAGAAACGGAGGATTTATACTACCTCCAAACACCTGCTGAAGTCAAGAACTCAATTTAGGTCTCCCATGTGGGTGACAGGGACCCAAGTCCTGGGCCCATTACTGCTGTTTCCTAGGCACGTGAGCATGAAGCTGGATCAGATCGAACCAGTCACTGGCTTCCGTAAGGTTTGTTTCTTTAATCAGATTACACTTCAGGATACCCTGATCTTAGAGTGGCAGAGGAAATGAAGCAGGTGTCTAAAGCAGCCTTGTCTGTTCCAAATCCTCTAGTCCAGCCACGTGGACTTTATCATGACTTCTCTTTCTCTGACTTTGTATCTGGCCCTTGGACAAACACTGAGGGTTCCACCTTAAAAAAAAAAAAAAATCCAGAATCAATCATGTCTCACCACCTCCACAACTTCAACTTGGATCAAGCAACCTTTAACTTCCACCTGGGATAGTACATGAGCTTGGCTCTATTCCAGATCCTACAGCTGAAGCCACACTCTTGCCTCCTAATCAGGTGCAGAGCTAAAGCCCAAACTTCCCTGTATGACTCCTGGTCTGTTACTAATACAGCCCTTTTGTTCAGCTCTGTCCTGCCTGGTACCCTCTCCATCCCCTGTTAGCTACAAAGTTTTCTGTAGCTATGTCACAGAGCCGGCTCCCGACATCTGTTCACCCAAAATGATTAGAGGCTTACTGGGGGCATATTAACACAGCAACCACAGAAATGACTCAGAGGAGACATCACGCAGGACACCTCCTAGGCGACATCATGCTCTTCCAGGGAAGAGCTACAACAGAGAACTGCAAATTCCACATTGTTCTCTTTGAGGAAGTCTTGGGTGAGTAAGGAGTCTTTGCTTTCCCACTGGTCTTTCACAGGCTTGTTTGTGAAGCCGGGGTAACTTCCACGTGGGAAAGGACTCTGGAACATCCACCACGTAAGTGCCATGGAGCAGCTGCAGGGAGCTGGCCCATGAACTCTCTTGGAACCAGACCTTGAGCAGAAGTCAAAAGTGCTTTGGATTGCATTCTTAGATATTTAGTATGGCTCTCAACAGCACAGGGAGGACCATTTCATTCCACTTGCTTCTTATTCAAAGAATATATCAATGTGTCCGCAGAAATGCCACACAGGCATGACAGAGCGAAGCTGCCACACAGACCCAAAGGAGCCATGGTGATCATGCAGAAACCTGCCATGTGGAAGAGGCTAAAGAAGCAGAGATGCCCAGCCTCAGCCTGAAAACACTGCTCTCCTGCAGACATGGAGGCGACAAACACCAGCAGGACAAGCAGTCACCCTTCAGGAGGCCTAACACGGTCTCAGTGACTCCAACTTCCTCTCCAAATTAAAATCCACTCCCTGTCCCTTACCACAAGCAGCAGCTGTGAAATCACAAGTGATCCTTTACTCTGACCTGCACACAGGTCAGCTAGCCTGGCACTGACGCTCTTTTCCATGGGACAGCCTCCACTTTCCAGGGCAGGACACAGCACCTTCTGCCATGAGGGTGGCACCACTGGGCCAGATCTCTGTTCCCAGTGGCCTAACCTCTAGGAAATGTAAACAGATATCTCTTACATGGTGCCTATTTGCTACAGGTTTCATCAGATTTCCCAGAGGAAAGAACAGCTGTTGCATCCACGGGCCAGGCAGAAAGAGCTGACTGCAGCTCATGTCCAAGGTTCAGCACCAAGGTCATCTGAAGTCACATCCTTGGCTCCCGGCTGCTAAAATCCACAGTCAGAACAGCTCGGACAGAAAGCTGAGTATCCTCCACAGTATTCAAGAGCAGCCCAGCTCCCCACCACCACATGAACTCACTCACTCCCTGGATTCTTCTGCCTGATGCAGACGGGCGAATTTCTGAGTGTCACAGTTCCATCCCTTAAGACCCACACAGCTGGCACTCAATGAAGATCAATTTCCCTTCCTTTCCACACAACTCCCTGTCAGAACTCAGGTAGCTGCTATCCACATCCTATGTCCTCTGTCCAGGAATCTGCCTTGTCCCAACTGGCAACACCTAGAACCATCTAGGAAAGTGCTAAGAACCACTTTTCCCTTCTTTTCCACCTCCTATTAGATACAGTTGCCTTTGTGGGGGAAGAAAAACAACGGTCTCTTTAAAAAATCATTTATCTGGCAACCAACTGTTAGTCTTCAACACGAGAACAGAAACAACTCAGGGAAAAAGTTGATCTCTTCAACAAATGTTGGGACAACTGGATAGTAGCCTACAGAAGCAAGAAACAAGACTCCCCCACCTTTCATTATATACAAAGATCAAATATAAACAGATAAAGAGTCTAAATGTACACCCAGAAACCATCAAACTACTAAAAGAGAACATAGAAAGCACTCTACAAGATATAGGTGTAGGCAAAGACTTCCTAGAGAAGTTATCAAAGCACAGATAGTCAAGGCCAAAATAAACATGGAACTACAAAGTAAGAAGCTTCAATACAGAAAAAGGAAACAGTCAACAAAGTGAAGAAGTAACCAATAGAATGAGAGAAAATCTTTACACACTACACAACAGAGAGAAGGCTAATAGCCAGGATATTCAACAAACTCCAGAAACAACACAACAAAACAACCAGTCAAAAAATGGGTAAAAACCTTGCATCCACTGGGATCCCATATGGGCCCCGGTTCATATCCCAGCTACTCCACTTTCCAGCCAGCTCCCTGCTTGTGGCCTGGGAAAGCAGCCGAGGACAGCCCAAAACCTTGGGACCCTGCACCCATGTGGGAGACCCGGAACAAGTTCCTAGCTCCTGGCTTCGGATTGGCTCAGCTCTGGCCATTGGTGGTCACTTTAGGAGTGAGACAGTGGACAGAAGATTTTTCTCTGTGTCTCTCCTTCTCTCTGTAAATCTGACTTTCCAATAAAAATAAATCTTAAAAAAAAATGGATGAAGGAAATGAGCAGATATTTATCAAAGAGGTACAAATTCAAATGGCTAACAGACATGAAAAAATGTTCAGGTTTGCTAGCAATAAAGGAAATACAAATAAAGACCACACTGAGGTTCCACTTAACCCCAATGAGAATGTCCTACAGAAAAGTACTAACAACACCTGATGGCAAACGTGGGGAAACACGTACCCTAACCTGCTGCTGGTGGACTGCTACGGCCACTATAGAAGCCAATATGGAGAGTACACAGGCAACTGAAAATTCACCTACCGTCTGACCCTGCAATCCCACTGCTGGGATTATATCCAAAAGAACTGATACATACATATAAAAAAAGCAATCTGCATCCCTGTATCAATGCAGCACAATCAACAGCAAAAAACACGGAAACCATCTAGCTGCCCATTTAAAGAGAATTAGATAAATAAACTGTGATACATAGACTCAATGGCATTATTACTCAGCCATTGAAAAGAATGAAATTCTACCATTTGCAACCAAATGGCCCCAACTACCGACCTTTATGCTCAGTGAAATAAGCCAGTCCTAAAAGGATAAATATCTTACATTCTCTCTGAGATAATACAACTTCCATCCAAAATACAAAAAAAAAAATACAGGTTGCTAAGTATACACTTGTAATCTCACAAATGAGGGATGTAATAAATATGAGTAGCAGAAATTGAAGATCAATAGTACGCATCTCTACTATTGAATAAAAATAGGCAAATGAAACTGCTACATATATCCTGACAACAAAATGCTAAACTCTCCAATATTGCTTACACCTTCAATGTCATGACCCAAGAAAAGGGCAGAATGCTGGAACTGAGACTACAGCAGAACTACTATATTACTATAAAACACAGGGGACAGCGGGGAAGGGAGAAGAGGTAGCCCTATACCTGAAAAACTGTAAAACAGACTATAAGAATTAAAAATACATGTAAAATTTTTAAATTATTTTAAAAAATTATTTATTTGGGACCTAGTGCAGTGGCTGATCTTCTACCTCCAAGCACCAGGATCCCGTATGGGTGCCAATTTGTATCCTGCTGCTCCACTTCCCATCCCGCTCCCTGCCTGTGGCCTGGGAAAGCAGTCGAGGACGGCGCAAAGGCTTGGGACCCTGCACTCGTGTGGGAGACCCGGAGAAGGTTCCTGGCTCCTGGTTTCGGATCAGCTCAGCTCCAGCTGTTGCAGCCACTTGGGGAGTGAACCAGTGGGGAGAAGATCTTCTCCATGAAAATCTGCCCTTCCAATAAATAATAAAATAAGTAAGTAATTTATTTGAAAGGCAGAGTTACTGAGAGGGAGGAAAAGAGATCTTCCTATTGGTTCACTCCCCAAATGGTCAAATGAACCTGGAACTCCATTGCAGTTTTCCAGATGAGTAAAAGTAGTCCAAGAACTCAGGTCATTTTCTGCTGCTTTCCCATGTACATTACCTTGGAGTTGGCTCATAAACGTAGCATTTGGGACTCAAATGGCATTCACATGGCATGCTGGTATGCTCTACCACAATGCCACTGACCCCAAAAATTACTTCAACATAACCACCTCAGTTAGGCAATACGATGATAATGACCATGAGAACTACCACAAAATGCTGCTACAAAAATAATTTTTAAAATGTTTTTGGTTGACAGATGTGACAGAGCTTTTAAGAAATTATCAAGACAAGACAGAAATAACCTAGTATTTCTTAGCATGTGGTCCCTAGGCACAAAAAGGGAACTTATTATAGAGGCAAATTTTTGAGCCCACCCTGGACCTAATATACTCTGGAGTGAGGCCCAGCAATCTGTATTCAACATATGCTCTAGGAGTCTGAGGTGAGAACTACTGCCTTACTACACAGACCAGAAATGGATACAGATATAGATATTAACAGAGTGGGAAAAATCGGTAAAATTAGCATCTCAGAATACTCTTACCATCATATATAGGACATAACTGTTAAGTACTTATTTAACTATTAATATTGAGCCAGATGAGGAGACACAAGGTGACAAAGTTTTAGGCGCAGGCACCTGATTTTAAAACATTTCTTTACCTATTAGTTGTGCAAACCAGGCAAGTCTCTAAGTCACCCTTTCCTCTGGACCACTTCCTACAGTTACTGTGAGAATCAGAGACACTTAATTACTCAGCAGGCGACTGTTGATCATTAAAGAACCCGGGATCATCAACAACCCAGCTGAACCACTCGCTCCCCAGTCAGCCCAGAAAACACTAGTAAACACCTAGACAGACAACACATCTAGAAACTGGGATGGATTCTTTTCAGAAAAAATGCTAGTAAGATGGACTCCTTTTTTTCTTGTCTATTTTCGAGCCAAAAAAAACCCATCAAAACCAATCTTACATCAAGCCCTTCCTTGCCTGCCAGTGTGCCCTGTGAAAGGCATGAACCAAGGACGGCTATGGCTTTCACAATAGTCCTTGGCAACACAGCAGGCCCTAGGAAGCAAGAGGTCAGAAAGAGGCTCCATGTGAGTAAGAAAATAACCAGAGAACAAAAAAACAAGTCTCTGGGGCAAGCTTGTATGAGGATATCCAGGGAACTGTTCAGATGGACTTCATGTTTCCACACTGTAAGGGCCATTATGCTTTTAACCAGGTGCCAAAACGAAACTGTCACCATTCAGAAGTAAAATTAAAAGATCATAATTTTCTCCCAGACCCCAAGGTCGCCCCTTCCCAATTCCATCCACAGCAAGATGTTGGCGGTGGGAGGGACCCGAGCCCACTCTGTTCTCCAGATATCCCTTCTCAGTGTACTCACCAGGAAGGTGGCATCCTCTGGAGCTCGGGCAGGCCCAGGGAGAGCTCACTGCGTGTACTATCAAACACCGCGTGTTGAACTATCAAAACCACTTGAGCAAGACCCTCGGAGCATGTCCCACATCAGGGACCTGGGACGGGTGGGGCTTCTCCCTTTATCTCCCCCTCTATCCCAGATACAGGAAAAAAACAATGTGGAAATAAGTCTTACCCACTTTCCTATAGCCCTTGAACCTTTGTGCCATAATTAACTATGTAAAGATTGTCAAAAATAAAGAAAAAACAATGGGAGGGAAAAAGATCATAATTTTCACTTCTGTTGCTGATTCTGGGAAGTATCTGATATGATTTCAATTAGTGCCAGTGATATGAACAAGTCTGGTCAATCACTGAAGCAAAGCCAGCCCACAAGCATTTAGTTTATTGGCTAAATACCTACCCCAGAGCTCAATGTACCCAAGATCCTACTGCATGAAACACACACAGAGCCTAAGGCCCTACTATCCCGTCTCCAGCCCGTGCTATCTGGGGCAACCCAGAAACATACCAACAGGCTACGATGCAGAGCCCTGTGAAGAGGATGATGGGGATGGGGTAGGATGCACAGAGCAGTCCATGGTTATAGAAGGCCCGAGATATCTTCTCACGCAGCCTTTCAGTCAAGGTCATCCTCAGCTGAAGTCACCTTGTTGCCATCCCGGAAAGTGACCATGGATCAGCCAGGCACCCGCTGGACGGCACTGACAATGGACACCATCTGAAGTTACCTGGCAGAATAGAAAAAGAGTCGATTAACAAAGAGGACTTGGCTCCCCACAAAGGGTTACTACAGAGAGAAGGTGGTTTTATGGGCAGGGACTGGTCTGGAGATATCACTCACATACATACACACACACACACACACACACTCACACTCTCTCTCTCTCTCTCACCTGGTCATCTCTCAAGTGCCTGTGAGCTGCTCTCCAACGAATCAAACCACAGAAAACAAACAAGTGCCCCTCCAGCTCCAGTAAGAAGGTCTCAGCCTCTTTCATTTTAGGCATTTCTCAAGGGCCACTCCCAGCAAGTACTTTACTCACACAGGAACAGGAAAGCAGGTCCAAGTAACAAACAGATCCCAGGAGCTGCTTTTTGAAAAGCAAGTGCTCTGAACACGCTCTCTACCTCCCTGAGCACGACCAAGACTGTGAACCCTTGGGGAAAACCTTTACATGCCCCTCAGCCCACCCCTATCGGGTCAAGACTCCTTCACAGTGATTCAATGAGAAAACAATATTCAGTGGTGTCAGCTCTCAACTACAACAAAAAAAGCTTGGGCATCTGACATAAAAGGCACAGAGCAGAAGTCACTCACAGCAGTACTAGGTGATAGTGTCTGCTCTGACCTCCCAGTGGCTCCTGTGACTGTGTGGCAAAGGCTCCTCAAGTTCCTCTCTGCCCAGCAGCTGTCACCTTTTCTGAGGAACAGCAGACCACTATGGCTCCACAGTGCTTGGCGTGGGTGGACTGTCAGTGCTCCCCAAACTGACCCAAGATACAACAGCTGGGCCTCAATTTCTGCACATACAAAGGCAAGACTAGGATTCTGGGTGTGTTTATTTATCCTCACAACACTCCTGGCTCCATAATTCCTAGGCTGTTTTGGCCCCAGTTCCTTTTCAAGACTGGCTTATCTACTTTTCTTTCCAGTCTCTAAGCCACCCTATGCTCGCCTTATAAATCCTCTGACAGTTTTTATGTTGGCCAAAGTTAATTTCTGTTGCTTGCAAACAAAGAACCTTAAACCAAGAAATCCAGAATATGAAATTCCAACCGGAGGCCCACCAGGGATCTAGATTTGTCTTTCTTACTGAAATCTCCAGTGGAATCCAAGTTTAAATCCACTCCTCCCATTCCATGTTTCTATCTTCTTTGGTCTGGATTAGAGGGAACTTGCCCAGACATGTGCCTCGGATTAGGCTACAAAATATCAAGAAATGAGAGGCAAAAGAAGTTGTCATCCCCCCTCCTGCCACCTTCCTAGAAGCACAGCATCAGGTGCACACACCACTTTCAGCCCAGGGACCTTGCAAGGATACACAGAGAACCCTCTGTGGTTCATCCAACAGACAATGGATAGAGATGGCAGCAGCAGTAACAGGTGCTGCGGCCAGAGGTGCACAACAGCTCACAGGAATGTCACCATTCACCAAGCTCACCCAAAACACTATAGCTCAAAGAAGCTGCAAGGACTGGACTCACTCATCCAGCACATCCTAGGGGGTCTTCAGAAAGTTCATGGAAAAGCCTTTAATGCTCCCACAAATCAGCTCCAACAGGCACTTCTGATTCTATCAATTCCAATCAGCTTCCCAAACCTCTCCTAAATGCACATCTGCAACAAGGGAAAGGATCATCTTTGTAATCAAGCTCTTATGCTTAGAACAAATCATACACTGCAAAACAGGCTCTCCAATTCATCTCATTCCATAGTAAATCCTTCCTATCATGCTCTTTATGCTAATTCTTAATCTTCACAGCACATGGCTTACACCTACCTGAACCTAGCAGGAGACGTTACTCACCTCTGTCCTGCAGTCTAGCATTCAACATAGAGCTATCTCAAAGCAAAATCACCCAACATGAACCCAAAACCTGTTTTTCTCACATTGCCCCACACTTGCAGGTTGCTTTAGATCGAAATCTACAGCTCTGCTTCTAGTATTTAAAGAGACACAGCCTTGTCCAGGAATAATGATTAGACCACATCATATTACAAAAGTAATTCTAATGCAGGAGACCCTCCTCTACAGGCAAAAACAAAGGAGGTGTACTGTTAGGCCAGAACTGGAAACTGGGTCAGAACAGCACTGACAGCATTCAGAGAGGACAGAACCTGGACTAAGTCAGACCCACTGGATCAAAAATGAAGGGGAGGAAGGGGAGGAATTCGACAAGGCAGGTTCATTTTACCTTGTCATGCACTTGCTAATGCTGCGCAAGACACTGAACTCAGGCCTGGCGCAATAGCGTAATGGTTAAGGTCCTCGCCTTGAACATGCCAGGATCCCATATCGGCTCTGGTTCTAATCCTGGCAGTTCCATTTCCCATCCAGCTCCCTGCTTGTGGCCTGGGAAAGCAGTCGAGGACAGCCCAATGTCTTGGGACCCTGCACCCGCGTGGGAGACCTGTAAGTTCCTGGCTCCTGGCTCTGGATCGGCACAGCACAGGCTATTGTGGTCACTTGGGGAGTGAATCATTGGACGGAAGATCTTCCTCTCAGTCTCTCCTCCTCTCTATATATATCTGAATTTTCAATAAAAATAAATAAATCTTAAAAAAATATTTTAATTTTTATTGCCGAGGCAGATTTACAGAGAGAAGGATAGACAGAGAGAAAAGTCTTTCATCTGCTGGTTCATTTCCCAAACAGCCGTAACAGTCAGAGCTGCGACAATCCAAGCCAGGAGCCAGGAGCATCTTCTGGGTCTTCCTCGTGGGTGCAGGGTCACGGGCTTTGCGCCACCCTCTACTGCTTTCCCAGGCCACAAGCAGGGAGCTGGATGGGAAGTGAAGCAGCTGGGACACGAACTGGCACCCATGGGATCCCAGAGTTGGCAGGGAGAGATTTAGCCAATTGAGCCATTCATTATACCAGGTCTGGAAAAAAGAAATTGTTTTTAAAGATTTACTTGAAGAACAGAATCCTCAGATTGGTGAAACCGGCAGCATTTCAGAACTATCCAAACCACTTGGGCAGAACCCTTGGCATATGTACACACTGAGACCCTAGGTTGATGTGAGGCGGCATTTCCTCGTCCCTCACCAGGGATGGGTGAAAAGTTGTGAGTGGTTTTTCCCTTTGTTTCTCCTGTTCCCCCAGGAACAACAAGAAGAAATAGCAAATTTGGAAGCAATGAATAACCCAATTTTCCCTAAACCTTGTTCCTTCCACCCTGATCAACCACATAATCATTATTGTAAAAATAAAAATTTTAAAAGGATTTATTTACTTGAACAGAATTAGAAAGAGGGGAAGGAGCAGAGAAAATTTTTCCTTCTGCAGGTTCACTACCCAAATGATCGCAACAGCTGGAGCTGGGTCAGCACAGAGCTAAAAGCTTCCTTTGGGTCTCCCACATACGTGCAGGGACCCAAACACTTGGGTCATACTCTCTTTCCCAGGCCACAGGCAGAGAGTTGGATCAGAAGTGAAGCAGCCAAGACTTGAACCAGTGCCCACATGGGATACTGGCATCAGAATCTATGCCACCAGCTCTACCCACTATGCCACAATGCTGGTTCCATGCCTGGGATTTTACATGTAAACTACCACGTCATCCAGAACGCAGGAAGATATTTCCTTCGCCCTTCCATACTTTCTCCAAACTTTTTCCCCTACTGATCTTCTGAGTTTTCTTCTTTTGGATTTACTTGACAGGAGTGCCAGAGGGACAGACAGAAAAAGAGATTTTCCAGTAGTAAGCTACACTGTGGCACTCCTCAAAGACTGGTGTACGGCCTAGGGTCGGATGCAAATACGAGGGAACTTCAAAGTAAGATTTATAAAATTATGCATGGATTTCATGCATAAGTACTACAGTAAACTTATCTGTCAATTCCATTTTTCAGGAACTTTCTGAAGTATGTGTATATGTTGGCTGAAGACGGCCCAGAAGTCCACAGTTGATTGAGTTCATTCCTCTCTGTAATCTTCCTGACAGTCTCCAGCTCCCCAGCGCCCTTCTCCTAGTCTTCCAGGTTTTACAACTGCTCTGCTGAGCATCAAACACACTGCCTCCAGGGCAGAGCGGTGAGAGAAAAAGCAAGAATTCCCTCCATGCTCTTGGGACCATAATCCCTATAAACAGAATCCTCTTCTCCAGCAGCCATTGTCACTGCTGTTTCTATCACTGCAAAACCGCATTAGGACCAGGACAGGAGAAAACAGAAGCAAGCAGACAATAAATAAGAGACTTCTTCCTTCACCTCCCACTCCTTCCACCCACAAGGATCCTTTCTTATGCTCTTCAGACTAAAAAGTAAGAGCTTCTCTTGGACCTCTGTACATAATTGCAGGCTCAGGGAAGCCTTGGAGCCTAGGTTAGAAGGCAGAGTACAGAGCAAACAAGCAAAACAGGAAACTCACTATCAGCCCCACCATTCAAGCTCTAATCCTCCACAAGCTACCTACCACCGTCCATCTTCCAGAACAGACTGCTGACCCTCATCCTCCTTCTAGGTACAGCAGTTCTACTTTGTCAGACACAGGGTGGAGTATACTTTTATTCCATCTTTATTTATAAAGATTTATTTTATTTTTATTGCAAAGTCAGATATACAGAGAGGAGGAGAGACAAAGAGGAAGATCTTCCAGCTATGGATTCACTCCCCAAGCGGCCGCAAAAGCCAGAACTGAGCTGATCCAAATCCAGGAGCCTAAAGCTTCATCCAGGTCCCCTATGCGGAGTACAGGGTCCCAAGGTGGGCTGTCCTCAACTGCTTTCCCAGGCCACAAGCAGGGAGCTGGATGGGAAGTGGGACCGCTGGGATATGAGCCGGCACCCAAATGGAATCCCAGCACAAGTGAGGATATTAGCCACTAGGTTATCGTGATGGGCCTGAATTCTACCGTTCTTTAAGATAAAGATCTTCATAAATTTCAGGATTCATTTTTCATTAGGAAAACTTTCCGCACAATGGCTGTTGGCATCTTTCTGCTGATCACAATCATTTCATTGTGAGAAGTAAGCAGAACCTTATGGTGTCTAATAAATTTTCTAC